AATAAAACTTTTGAAAACTTAACAACAGATGATATGTCATTAATAAATAACAAGAAGAGAATTGGGCAAAGATGACTACCTTGAGGAACGCCTAAAGGAACATTGATTATGTCGGAAAGAGTATCGTTAAATATGACTTGTTGAATTCTATTACTAAGATAAGAAGCAACCCATTTTAGAAATATTGGTTGAAAACCAAGAAGATAAAGTTTATTCAAAAGAATTGAATGGTTTACTTTATCAAAATCTTTACTAAAATCTGTGTATATAACATCAGTATTCTTATTCTCCCTAAAGCCCGTTGATACATGTGATAAAAATTCAAGCAACTTAGTTATTGTAGATTTCCCTTTACGAAAACCGTGCTGAGAAATTGGATAGTATTTATTTTATTATAATGGATAAATTTTAGAATTATGAAATGAGTGAAGAGTTAGTGGATATGAAAGTTAAAAATATAATTGTAAATTTTTTTATAAACGGAGAAATATTAGTTTTAAATAGTTGAATTTTTGAACTTTAAATGCAAATATCTCAAAAACCATAAGTCAGCGGCAACTATATATGTATGTATATATGTATATATTTTCTTGATACCCCGAAATTGGGGGATGTTATTCTAAATCCCAGGATATGTAATTATAGGGAAATTATAGTTTTCGAGATATTTGCGTTTAATGTTTAAAATTTCAACTATCGCAAGTTACATGATTCTTCCAATAGCAAGGGACCAATTCATCCGAAAATTGTTATTTGTTTAATTAATACAGCTAATATCGATTCGATCACATAAATGTGCAGAATACAAACACGCGTTTTAGCTAAAACACTCGCCTTATAAGTTGAAAAAGATTTTACAATTCCACTAAATTAAAATCCAACCATATGTGACAGTTTGCGATGCTCACAATAGCGTAATCGAAATTCAAACATTTCACAGGAAATTCGCAATACGGATTTTTCGAAACTGAATGTTTTGTTAATTTCCTGTCATTGGGGTATACTTTGTTTTCTTAATTTGTCAGTTTGCAGCCGTTGTGTTAATGTGTAAATACCTAGAAATGTACAATGAGTGAAATATTGAATAAAACCTATTTTCCACTATGTGATGTGAATGAAATGTATACAAACGAGTTAGTGAAGTGTGAGAGAATTTAAAAGTGAACAATATAAATGCAAAATACATTAAAAAAAAAAATACTTTAAGTATAAAATTAATTGAAACTTTCAACTTTAAACGTATATATCTCGAAAGCAATATATTCTCTATCCGTCCTTTAACCGTTCATACCCATTTTAAACAATTTAATTTTACAAGTCAAATATATTTCTTATAGTGTTAACTGATATACCCACTAACTTTTCAATAATTTGTTATTTCATAACATTTCCTATATCATATATATAAGTTTTAACATATTTTTTATATTAATAATAGTAAATAAATAAACAAATATGTACCAATTTCCAGAAGCGAGCGAACCACACCACAGCCCTATTACAGTTGAATTGAAGTTACGTTTCTCATGCCACTGAACAGTTATTATTCTAGCAACTTCTGACGCTACCACAGGCTAATACATATTCAAATAAAACGCTCTTTTCCAAAGTAACAATTTCGAAGTATTATTGTATTTCACATTATAGTCATTTGATACCACTGGAATAATAAATGCTTTTAACGGCAAAATTGGTGACCGCGATGTAATTCCTAAGGATTGCGTCAAACTAATCCCAATACAATTCACCGTCGAACTGCATCGTAACCGGTTGCTTTTCGCTCTTTGCTTATTGAGTTTGTTAAAACGGTATAACGGTTTGTTCTGCRWTTATATTACGCTCGTGCTTTGTTTGTGAATTAATTTTTTATCGTTTTATATCTTTTCAATCACTTAATTTCTTAATTTGTTAAACTAAAATTCGCGTTTACT